TTGGGAGAGGTTTTTGCTATTGGGCGCATGCGCTCACCAGACAGAGAGAGACAGAGAGACAGAAAGCGAGAAATCACCCCCCAGGGGGGATGGTCACGCCACAATCCCCTCTCCTCCGTTCTCCTCTTGGGATCTTGGGCACGCACGCACACGCGCCCGGCGTCAGTTTTAAGCCACCGGGTCCGGGACGCGAACCACGGTGGACTACGTGGGAGTCCAGCGACATAGCCATTACGCTAACTGCTGGTTCCCAGTAGCCGTTACATTTTCTAAAAGGGGAGAACATCAGAGTTGGAAGGGATGTTAGCAACCCCTTGTCTACTTAGAGATAATCCAGAGAGAACAATCTAAAGCTAAAGTCACCTACTTAGTTTTTGACAAAATTCGATCTGCAATACAAGTTTGTGTTATTGATGCTATGTGACTAAATCCTTATAACAGAGGAAGGAGTCTGTTTAAATGACGTAAAATGTCCATTACTTCTTTCAGGTGCAAGGCCTAAAGGAGGGTGTCAGCTATGTGTTCCGTGTCCGAGCCATAAACCAGGCAGGAGTTGGGAAGCCATCTGACCTCGCTGGCCCTGTTGTGGCAGAAACCCGTCCAGGTGGGCTTTTACTTCTCATTACAATTTATCTACCAATGTAAAATAATGCTCAACCTAACTTCTGTGCTTTTTCTAATTTGTAAAATCATCACTGTGTTATCTGAATAATTGATAAGGATGACCTTAGAATCTGACAATTATTTATGCTATCATTGGTGCCTCAAAACAAGGATGAGCCAGGTTTTAAGTGGCCTGTGAGCTATTGTGGTTCATATCTAAGAATAGGGAAGTTTTGTGGGTTATTTTTTGTAGAGTTTTTTGCTATAGGGCATGTGCGCTCTCCAGAAAGACAGAGAGACAGACAGAAAGTGAGAAATCACCTCCCGGGGGGATGGCCACACCACAATCCCTTCTCCTCCATTCTCCTCTCGGGATCTTGGGCATGCTCGCACACGCACCTGGCATGAGTTTAAGCCACCGGGTCTGGGACTCGAACCATGGTCGACTACATGAGAGTCCAGTGACATAGCCATTATGCCAACGGCTGGTGCCGGGAAGCTTTTTTTTTTAGACAGAGTTTCGCTATCTCCATCCTCCTGCCTTGGGCTTCCATCGAGGACTATAGGTGCAACACCACCACACTCAACTCTTTTTAGACAGGTTTTCACTGGCCCAGGCCAGCCTAGAACTCAGGATCCTCCTAGCTCTTCTCCAGATCTTTGGAATTATGAGTCCACAAAACCATGTCCAGCCATTAGATGAAACCAGGAATTGAACCTGGACCTCCCTTATGGTCTCAGCCTACAGAGCTGTGTTTTAGCAACACACTCCAATGTAGCTGGTCCCCTCCAGGGAATTATGACTCTTGGAGCAGTTGTAGCAACCACACATTTCTGAGACGTTGTTCCTATTTTACTTATTGCATTAAGCCCTGCAGTAGATTTTCTAGTTGTAGAGAAAGCTAGATCAGCTCGGTTACCAGGCACAAAATTTAGACAAAGTAAGATTTATGTGATTGTAGCTAAGTTAAACCAAGGGCAAGTCAGCAAACTTTGTATGAAGGGCTGGATAGTATGTGTTTTTGACTCCACAGTCACATTGTCTCTGTCACAATTACTCAGCTCCACCTGGTAATAGAAATAATCCTAGACAATACATAAACTGGTAAGCATAGCTGTGTTCCAATGAAACTTTATTATGTATATTATATGCTTTACAAAAATATAATGCACTAGATGAATTATAAAACTTGACTTTGGGCCAGCCCTTGGCATGGTGGGTAAGATTCTGGATCCCATAGGGCTGATTTTGTGGTTTGAGTCCCAGACCCATTGGCTTGAAAAACACTCTGGGCAAGTGTGTGTGCATGCCCCAAATCCGAAGAGTAGAAATGGAAAAGAAGAAATTGGGGCATGACCATTTCCCATGGTGGGTGCTTTCTCACTTTCCTTTTCACTCTCTGTCTCTGACCAGTGCACACACTCTCTGACAAAATCTAAAAAGAAAAGGAAAATTAAAATGCTACATAATATTCATATGTCTTGAAATATTAATCTTCTTTTGATTTTTTTTCCAACTGTTTAAAAATATAAAAACCATTCTTAGTTTGCAGGACATACAAAAGAGGCAATGGGCCAGATTTTGCCCACGGACAATAGTTTGCTGACCTCTGGGTTAAACTAACAGCCAGGCTAGATAACAGACAGTCTTTATTATGAGAACAAAGTTTACAGTGCTCATTGCCTGAATAGTTTCAGATTATTATGGAATGATAATTTTTTAATCATTCAATCATTTTTCAAAATTATCTTCACTTTAATATATCCCTAATTATTTTTACTTTAATATATCCCTATTTCAGTTCATTAAAGTAACATAAAAGAAAGCACAAGTAACACGAGAGGATAAAAAATATTAGCTAGTTTTCTTTTTTCTAGAGGTTTTGTTTTTGTTTTTGTTTTGCCTTAGAATGTGTATGCTCACTGGAGAGGGAGAAACACAGAGATAGTGAGCAGGAAAGTGAGAACTCACCCCCCGGGGAGGATGGCCACACCACAGTCCCTTCTTTTCCATTCTCCTCCTGAGATGTTCAAGCCACCGGATCCAGGATTTGAACAGTGGTCAGCCATGTAGGAGTCCAGCAATGCCATCTGCTGGCCCTGAGTTATTTTAAGTTTATATTCATTCTAGTCCAAGCACTTTTACTTTAATATGTACCTATTTTCAGACTGAAATAAAGAACAGATAGAAAATGTAATAGTTTTCTGTGTGAAAAGAATGTAAACATAGAAAACTGCTCTCATAACACGTTGCTTGAATGGTATGTAAAATGTACCTTGTGAGGAAATGTCCACCCCTTTTATCCTATTTCTTCATAATCTGTTTTTTAGCACTCTTTTTTTTTTTTTGGAGAGGTTTTTGCTAT